TCAAACTTATAGAGTAGAACTATGTTCATTCATAATGATAAGAGAGAATCTTTAAACTAACTAGCAGTCGAGGTGGGACCTGGGTTAGCGAAGGTTGTACATTGCTTTTTCTGCAATGTGACTGATGGGTTGAATGTTCAGACTTAAAAATTGAACAACCGAGAGTCTCTCTAAAATTAAAGATTTGACAGTGAATAGAGGAGGAGGAAAATATGTTTTTTTTTTTTACAATAAAAACAATGGTTAAAAATTACTATTTATTCAATAAAGGGAGAGGTTCGAACGTAGGTAATCTTCACCTGCAGCCCAGCCAGCGGGCTGCATGGGGGAGTTCATGTTTCTTTAATTAGTCATGCATCAAAAGGTTTGAAAATCCAATAGACTCGTCAAATTTTGGGTCTTTGATTTTTCCAACTAGATGTAAATCTTTAACACGTGACGTGCTCCATTTTCATATCCCCAAATATTTTCTAAGACTCCTATTTCTTTTAGTAAGAAGCACAAATAAATAAAAATTTACATTTAACTTTTTATTTTATCAAGTTTAAATATTTTAGTTTTTTATTTTATATTATAACATCTCTAACCTTTTATTTTATTAAATTTATAAATTTTAATCTATCACCTATTAAAATAAAAAAAATAGCTCTCATTTTATATTGACTGTTAACTCTGTTAATTGAAAATAAATTTTTATCAACAATAGTAAATTAATAACCAATTAACAAAATTAAAAAATATTATAAAATTAATTTTGTTAATTTTGTTAGTTAAAAGAAAGTTTTTAAAAGTTAACAGTCAACTAACAAAATTAATAGTCAGTTAATAAAACTAATAAAATGTTACAAAGTGAAAATCATTTTCTTTAATTTTAATAGATGAATAGTTAAAAGTGTTATAATATAAAATAAGATGTTAAAATTTACCAATCTAATAACGTGAGGGACTAAAAATATCATAGGTAAACTGCAGAAATAATGCCTATTCCATTTTCCAAAAAACGGAGTTATAACTTCAATCAATGGAAGGACGAAAGTAGATTCTTTTTTGCAAAGTTAAGGGATTACTATGAATTTTTATATAGAGTATATTATTTTATTATTTAAATTGTATTATAAAATAAAAAAAATTTTAAATGAAAAAAAAGACCTACTTGTAACGTAGAATGTTCATTCTTAATGTGGAAAATGAATCTTTAAACTAGCTAGCAGTCGAGATGGAGCCCGGGTTAATCAAGGTTTACGTTGTTTTTTCTGCAATGTGACAGTGTCGGATTGAATGTTCAGATTTCAAACTTAAAAATGAATAATCCAGAGTCTCTCCAAAATTAAAAATTTGATAGTGAAAAGCGAACGAGAAAAGTAAGTTCTTTTATTAGCTATACATTAAAAGGTTCCAAAACTCGAAAGATTCGTCAAATTTTGAGTCTTTGTCCAACAAGATGTAAGTCTTTAACGCGTGCTACATTTTCGTTTCCCCAAGTATTTTCTAAGACTCCTATTTC